CAGGGCTATATACAAGGAAAGGGGGCTCGTGACAGCAGAGGGAAAGACTATCAAAAATAAACAAGAGATTTTGGAGCTCCTGGAGGCCATATGGTTACCAAAGAGCCAGGCCATCACCCATTGTCCAGGACACCAAAAAGGGGATTCACTGGAGGCACAGGGAAACAGGAAAGTGGACCTAGTGGCCAGAGAAGCAGCCCTAGCAGCCTCAAACCTACTGGTTATCCTGACAGAACCCCTCTTGCCAGAAGAGCCCTCCTACTCAGCTCAGGACGATCAGGATTTAACTTGCCTGGAAAATACCAAGATCAAGCATGGATGGAGATGCACCTCTGATGGGAGGCTCATTCTACCGCACAAGCTGGCAGAGGACCTAATATATAAACTCCACAAAGGGACTTACCTAGGGAAATGAAAGTTACAAGAACTCCTGACTCCATACCACACTTTCGATCTAACCAAAATAATTGAGAGCTGTCTTTCCAGATGTTGCTCCTGCCTGGTTACTAATCCAAGAGGAAAAGTCATGCCCCCAGCCAGAAGGGAGAGGGGCACTGCACCTGGAGTCCTTTGGGAGGTGGACTTCACTGAGGTAAAACCTGGCAGGTATGGCTATAAATATCTCTTAGTTTTTGTAGATATATTTTCAGGATGGGTCGAAGTGTTTCCCACAAAGGGAGAAACCGCCTCAACGGTGGTTAAGAAGATCATCAATGAACTAATACCAAGATATGGACTCCCCTCTGTGATCAGGTTAGACAATGGACCAGCTTTCATCTCTAAGGTAACTCAAGAGCTAATTAAAACACTGGGGACTAATTGGAAGCTACATTGCGGATACCACCCCCAGAGCTCAGGGCAAGTAGAGAGAATGAATTGGACCCTTAAAGAGACCTTAACCAAATTAACCCTAGAATCTGACGATGACTGGATGGGCCTCCTACCTTTTGCCCCATACAGGGTCAGAAATACCCCTTATACTCAAGGACTAACACCTTATGAAATCATGTATGGCCGACCACCCCCTTTGCTTCCCAAGCTGCCTTCAGATGTGCTAACTAACTTGTCTGAATCCCAATTTCTTAAGTCCCTACAGGCCTTACAGATTGCACAAGACAACATTTTCCCTCTGCTGAGACATATTTACGAACTACCACTGGCCCAGCCAAACAGATTCAAGCCAGGAGACCTTGTTTGGGTGAGACGACACCATAAGGAGCCCCTTGGACCTCAATGGAAGGGGCCACACATCATGATCCTCACCACCCCCACCACGGTCAAAGTGGACAGTGTCAAGACCTGGATACATCATTCACACCTGAAATTGGTGCCAAACAACAAACCTGACAAACTGAACAAGAGATGGAAGGTCACACGGGTAAAAGACAATCCTCTCAAGCTAAATACCACTACAACTGGTCTGGGGGCTTCAGCGCTAGTCCTCCAGGATAAAAATTACCACCTTCTTAGGCTGGCCATAGACTTAGACATAAAATCATTAGAAAAATCTATCCGCACCTCAAAGACTCTCTATCCTCTTTAGCTGAGGTACCCTTACAAAATAGGGGAGGGCTAGACTTACTTTTTCTAGAGAAAGGAGGACTCTGTGTTGCCCTAGGGGAACAGTGCTGTTTCTATGTCAATCACTTGGGAGTTATAAAACAGTCTTTGGCCGAGGTCTGTAAAAGACTTATGGAAAGGGAAAACAAATGACTAAATCAACAAAATCGGTATGAATCCCTATTTGACTGGTCCCCACGGTTAACAACTTTGATCTCAGCGATGGTTAGACCTCTCCTCTTATTCCTACTAGCAGTCATCTGTGGTCCCTGTATTCTTAATGCCTTGCTCAAATTCATCTGAGAACAGATACAGACAGTCCAACTGATGGCACTGCATTCGCAGTATACTCATTTAAATCAAGACCCTGAGCCTTACGACAATACAGAAATGGTTCTACCGCCCTAAATGCACCATCTAACCGCTTCTTTCCACTTCTGTAATTTGCTTGGCTTCAATATTTAACCCTTGCCATAATTCTAGGGAGGAATGAAGAGCCAGAATGAAGAGCCAGAATGCACTGACTCCATCTTGGCTAGCTTCTTCAGACAAGCCCGGACAAGCTCAGGCATATTGTAAATTTTTCCAGTTGCTACCCACCCCCCAAGCTATAGATTAAGCAAGCCCTGGACATGTAAAAGCCTTATAAGGTATGAACAAAAACATCTGGCCCTAAAAGATATCAGTCAGCACATTCCAATGCCCTGAAGACAGCCCTAGCCTGCTATTGTTCGGGGCCAGACTCCATCTTTGGCTCGTGCAGTCTGTGCCTGGCTAGCCGCCATTTGGTTGTTTTTACTTTAAATTCCTGAATAAACTTTTTGTATAATCTTCTTGGTATCTGTGGGAATTATTCTCAATTCTCAAACCCTAACACTAACAACTGTGTATAACTGCAGTTCCAGGGGATCTGACGGTCTCTTCTGACCTCCTCAGTATTGCACAACAAGGATGCACCTAACTACATACAGGCATTACACTCATACACATAAAATAAAAATAAAAGGCGTGGTGCACGCCTTTAATCCCAGCACTTGGGAGGCAGAGGCAGGCGGATCCTCTGTGAGTTGGAGGCCAGCCTGGTCTAGAGAATGAGTTCCAGGCAGCTGGAGCTACAGGGAGACCCTGTCTCAAAAAGACCAAAA